GCTAATGAGGGGTGATCAGATCCATTTTGTTTCAGACATCTAGTGGTTCCCTTTGAAAACCTTCAAACACATCTCCTGCCCCAACAGTATAAGTCTTGCCACATTATAACAGCATATCGACAAAGACTGACAGGTCAATCCTGATGGTACCTGCCTAGATGACAGTGAAACAGATTGTACCGTGATACAGGATTGTGCCGTGAAATAGGATTGTACCGTGATACAGGATTGCACCGTGATACAGGATTGTACAATGAAACAGGATTGTATCGTGATTCAGGATTGTACCATGATACAGGATTGTACCGTGATACAGGGTTTTACCGTGATACAAGATTGTACCGTTATACAGGATTGCACCGAGATACAGGATTGTACCGTGATACAGGGTTTTACCGTGATACAGGATTGTACAATGAAACAGGATTGTATCGTGAAACAGGATTGTATCGTGATACAGGATTGTACCATGATACAGGATTGTACCGTGATACAGGATTGTACCATGATACAAGACTGTACCGTGAAACAGGATTGTATCATGATACAAGATTGTACCGAGATACAGGATTGTACCATGATACAGGATTGTACCGTGAAACAGGATTGTACCGTGAAACAGGATTGTACCGTGATACAGGATTGTACAATGAAACAGGATTGTACCGTGATACAGGATTGCACCATGAAACAGGATTGTACGGTGATACAGGATTGTACTGATATATAGGGTTGTACCATGATACAGGATTGTACCGTGATACAGGATTGTACCATGATACAGGATTGTACCATGATACAGGATTGTACCGTACCATGATACAGGATTGTACCGTGATACAGGATTGTACCGTGATACAGGATTGTACAATGAAACAGGATTGTACCGTGATACAGGATTGCACCATGATACAGGATTGTACCGTGATACAGGATTGTACCATGATACAGGATTGTACCGTGATACAGGATTGCACCATGATACAGGTTTGTACCATGATACAGGATTGTACAATGAAACAGGATTGTATTATGATACAGGATTGTACCGAGATACAGGATTGTACCATGATACAGGATGGTACCGTGAAACAGGATTGTACCGTGAAACATGATTGTACCGTGATACAGGATTGAACAATGAAACAGGATTGTACCGTGATACAGGATTGCACCATGATACAGGATTGTACCGTGATACAGGATTGTACCATGATACAGGGTTGTACAGTGATACAGGATTGCACCATGATACAGGATTGTACCGTGATACAGGATTGTACCGTGATACAGGGTTGTACCGTGATACAGAATTGTACTGTGATACAGGATTGTACCATGATACAGGGTTGTGCCATGATACAGGATTGCACCATGATACAGGATTGTACCGTGATACAGGATTGTACCGTGATACACGGTTGTACCGTGATACAGGATTTTACCATGATACAGGATTGCACCATGATACAGGATTGTACCGTGATACAGGATTGTACAATGAAACAGGATTGTATCATGATACAGGGTTGTACCGTGGTACAGGATTGTACCATGATACAGGATTGTACCGTGAAACAGGATTGTACCGTGAAACAGGATTGTACCACGATACAGGATTGTGTCCAGTTAGCAAGTGATAGTGTGAGCCCAAATCTATGGCTAACTTGTCGCATCATTCAGTCCAGCATCAATGGATGCCAACTCAGGAAGGTTGTAATGGTTCACCTGTACAATGGCCTGACCGGTGCTTGTACTTACCCCACCATGTACATACCTATCATTCAATAAGGTCAGCCATACATTTGTAACAAACATTTAGTTTCAATCTCCAGTGTCTGAAGAAACTCCTTCACATCAATATTGTTGCACATACATAGCTCATGATGCTTTTACAGCGAGTATGTCCTTTGTCTGCCAGTGACTGATGCACCACCTAAGCTGGGTATTCCTCTCACCTGAGTGACAGACTTGACATGCGGTCTGAGAGTTTAGCTGGACACCAAGCACAAACAGTCAGAAAAGGAGTATGTGACACACTTACTCCAAAACCTTTCAGTTTACTTGTCTGTCACACTTCTTATAAATCTGTACAACGTAAGTTGGCAAGATCAAAGATTTATTGGAGCATACAGCAAATCAGTATTCAGATACATGCCCACAGTGTGCACACACATTAATTATTCACAGATGAAGTTGTAATATCACTGATAATGCATTTAGCATTGATTCAATAAAACCAATCTGCTTTTGAAGAATGAACTTTTCCCCTGTGAAGCTTTTTGACTAATAGCTTTCAAACAGATTCAGCAAGTGCAACATGGAGACAGAGAAACATCATAACAGCATGAATATTTCATCCCGGTGTGGGATCTAACACTGGCCCACACTTACTCCACCAATATATCCCTACACAGGACAATACAGACACTACACCTGCTGGAGATATACTCCACCAATATATCCCTATACAGGACAATACAAGCACAACACCTGCTGGAGATATACTCCACCAATATATCCCTACACGGACAATACAGGCACAACACCTGCTGGAGATATACTCCACCAATATATCCCTACACAGGACAATACAAGCACAACACCTGCTGGAGATATACTCCACCAATATATCCCTACACGGACAATACAGGCACAACACCTGCTGGAGATATACTCCACCAATATATCCCTACACAGGACAATACAGGCACTACACCTGCTGGAGATAAACGTCACAATATATCCCTACACGGACAATACAGGCACAACACCAGCTGGAGATATACTCCACCAATACATCCCTACACGGACAATACAGGCACAACACCTGCTGGAGATATACTCCACCAATATATCCTTACACAGGGACAATACAGGCACTACACCTGCTGGAGATATATATCACAATATATCCCTACACAGGGACAATACAGGCACTACACCAGCTGGAGATATACGTCACAATATATCCCTACACAGGGACAATACAGGCACTACACCAGCTGGAGATATACGTCACAATATATCCCTACACAGGGACAATACAGGCACTACACCTGTTGGAGATATACATAACAATATATCCCTACCCAGGGACAATACAGGCACTACACCTGCTGGAGATATACATAACAATATATCCTACACAGGGACAATACAGGCACTACAACTGCTAGAGATATACGTCACAATATATCCCTACACAGGGACAATACAGGCACTACACCTGCTGGAGATATACGTCACAATATATCCCTACACAGGGACAATACAGGCACTACACCTGCTGGAGATATACGTCACAATATATCCCTACACAGGGACAATACAGGCACTACACCTGCTGGAGATATACATAACAATATATCCCTACACAGGGACAATACAGGCACTACACCTGCTGGAGATATACATAACAATATATCCCTACACAGGGACAATACAGGCACTACACCTGCTGGAGATATCGTCACAATACAATATATCCCTACACAGGGACAATACAGGCACTACACCTACTGGAGATATACATAACAATATATCCCTACACAGGGACAATCCAGGCACTACACCTGCTGGAGATATACATAACAATATATCCCTACACAGGGACAATACAGGCTCTACAGCTCCTGGAGATATACATAACAATATATCCCTACACGGACAATACAGGCACTACACCAGCTGGAGATATACATCACAATATATCCCTACACAGGACAATACAGGCACTACACCTGCTGGAGATATACATCACAATATATCCCTACACAGGACAATACAGACACTACACCTGCTGGAGATATACATAACAATATATCCCTACACGGACAATACAGGCACTACACCAGCTGGAGATATACATCACAATATATCCCTACACAGGACAATACAGGCACTACACCTGTTGGAGATATACATAACAATATATCCCTACACAGGACAATACAGGCATTACACCTGCTGGAGATATACGTCACAATATATCCCTACACAGGGACAATACAGGCACTACACCTGCTGGAGATATACATAACAATATATCCCTACACAGAACAATACAGGCACTACACCTGATGGAGATATACGTAACAATATATCCCTACACAGGGACAATACAGGCACTACACCTGCTGGAGATATACGTAACAATATATCCCTACACAGGGACAATACAGGCACTACACCTGCTGGAGATATACGTCACAATATATCCCTACACAGGGACAATACAGGCACTACACCTGATGGAGATATACATAACAATATATCCCTACACAGGGACAATACAGGCACTACACCTGCTGGAGATATACATAACAATATATCCCTACACAGGGACAATACAGGCACTACACCTGATGGAGATATACGTCACAATATATCCCTACACAGGGACAATACAGGCACTACACCTGCTGGAGATATACATAACAATATATCCCTACACAGGGACAATACAGGCTCTACAGCTCCTGGAGATATACATAACAATATATCCCTACACGGACAATACAGGCACTACACCAGCTGGAGATATACATCACAATATATCCCTACACAGGACAATACAGGCACTACACCTGCTGGAGATATACATAACAATATATCCCTACACAGGACAATACAGGCACTACACCTGCTGGAGATATACATAACAATATATCCCTACACAGGACAATACAGGCACTACACCTGCTGGAGATATACATAACACTACACCTGCTGGAGATATACATAACAATATATACCTACACAGGACAATACAGGCACTACACCTGCTGGAGATACATGTAGCAGTAAATCTGTTTGTCTAATCAATGAATCTGTCGGTACAGTATTCTGATCGTTCATCCTGTGGTGATACATTCATTTTCACTTAACAATGCTTTCACCGACCCCCAGTGTATTGAAGTTTGATACTTGTGTGTGAAAACAGAAATTTGCCCTAGCCATGTACATTCCACATGTGAGATATATGCCGAGGTACTCACCAAATAAGCTCTGTCTCCTGCACTCTGCAACACAAAAAACAACTTTATTAATGTTTGTGCAATCATTTCATCTTCATCATGTGTCAAACAAACAATTGGGGGTATAGAAGCCCAGTAGTGACAGATGCTTGACCATGTGGCCTGTGTTTCTGTGCTTCTCCACCACTACCACCACCAGGCTGCCGGACCCAGCCAGCTGTAATCCTGCTGCGCTAATGGATGTGATTCTTCATCAGCACAGCAACATGCAGGCATATTGGATGTTGTGCTATCTTTGATGTCCAGAGTGGCCATTTGCTCAGCTTTATTCCCTGCAATAACTGTCAATTATCAGACACTATTTGTTTGCAGGAAAACTCAGATTTCATTTTTTGTCAGCCATGATGGAATGGAAAAGAGACAGCATCATTCTCCCGGAAGGTGGAGCGTTTGAAGAAAGAAGAAAATTGGCCAGCAGGGGACATTTATGAGTCCTCGAGTCCAGAGCCCAGCAGACTTCAGTGGAAATTACTCTTACAGGCCCTTCAAAGTGTGTTATTGAATTTCAATGAAACAACCGTCTTAAACTCATTTTTTCATTAATATGAAATACAGCTAAGAGAGCCTGTTTTGAGACCTCTGCCTTTCTTTCTTGCATGGACATGACCCTTACGTTGACCACACTATTGCAACCACCAGAACAGGGCTACTGCAACCACTGGTCACACAACAGGCTACTGCAACCACCAGTCACAGAACAGGCTACTGCAACCACCGGTCACAGAAAAGGCTACTGCAACCACAGGTCACAGAACAGGCTACTGCAACCACTGGTCACATAACAGGCTACTGCAACCACTGGTCACAGAACAGGCTACTGTAACCACCAGTCACAGAACAGGCTACTGCAACCACAGGTCACAGTACAGACTACTGCAACCACCAGTCACAGTACAGGCTACTGCAACCACAGGTCACAGTACAGGCTACTGCAACCACTGGTCACACAACAGGCTACTGCAACCACTGGTCACACAACAGGCTACTGCAACCACTGGTCACACAACAGGCTACTGCAACCACTGGTCACACAACAGGCTACTGCAACCACTGGTCACACAACAGACTAATGCAACCACTGGTCACACAACAGGCTACTGCAACCACCGGTCACATAACAGGCTACTGCAACCACCAGTCACATAACAGGCTACTGCAACCACCGGTCACACAACAGGCTACTGCAACCGCTGGTCACACAACAGGCTGCTGGAACCACTTGTCGCAGAACAGGCTACTGCAACCACTGGTCACAGACTGACTGACTGACTGAGTTTAGTTTTACGCCGCTTTTAGCAATATTCCAGCAATATCAAGGCGGGGGACACCAGAACACTGGTCACAGAACAGGCTACTGCAACCACTGGTCACACAACAGGCTACTGCAACCACAGGTCACAGTACAGGCTACTGCAACCACTGGTCACACAACAGGCTACTGCAATCACTGGTCACACAACAGGCTACTGCAACCACTGGTCACACAACAGGCTACTGCAACCACAGGTCACAGAACAGGCTACTGCAACCACTGGTCACACAACAGGCTACTGCAACCCCTGGTCACAGAACAGACTACTGCAACCACAGGTCACAGACATGTTACTTAACATGGCAAACTCAAGTGCAACCATTCAGTGCCCAGCAAGTTATGCCACACAGACAGAACAAGTTTCATGACACAGACCACTGACTACAGAACAGGTTTCATGACACAGACAACTGACTACAGAACAGGTTTCATCACACAGACCACTTACTACAGAACAGGTTTCACCACACAGACCATGAACTAAAGAACAGGTTTCACCACACAGACAACTGACGAGCAGTCAGAACAGGTTTCACAGACCACTGACTCCAAAACAGGTTTAACCACAGACCACTGACTACAGAACAAGTTTCATCACACAGACCACTGACTACAGAACAGGTTTCATCACACAGACCACTGATTAAAGAACAGGTTTCACCTCACAGACCATGAACTAAAGAACAGGTTTCACCACACAGACAACTGACTACAGAACAGGTTTCACCTCACAGACTACTGACCAGTAGTCAGAACAGGTTTCACCACACAGACCACCGACTACAGAACAGGTTTCACCACACAGACAACTGACTAGAGAACGGGTTTCAACACAGAGATCACCGACTACAGAACAGGTTTCACCACACAGACCACTGACTACAGAACAGGTTTCACCACAGAGATCACCGACTACAGAACAGGTTTCACCACACTCACTATAGAACAGGTTTCACCACAGAGATCACCGACTACAGAACAGGTTTCACCTCACTAACTATAGAACCGGTATTGCCACATAGATCACCGACTACAGAACAGGTTTCACCTCACTCACTATAGAACCGGTATTGCCACATAGATCACCGACTACAGAACAGGTTTCACCTCAGAACACTATAGAACCGGGTATTGCCACATAGATCACCGACTGACTACAGAACAGGTTTCACCTCACTCACTATAGAACCAGTATTGCCACATAGATCACCACACAGACTACTGAGAAACAGGTTTCACCTCTCACTCACTATAGAACCGGTATTGCCACATAGATCACCGACTACAGAACAGGTTTCACCTCACTCACTATAGAACCGGTATTGCCACATAGATCACCGACTACAGAACAGGTTTCACCTCACTCACTTTAGAACCGGTATTGCCACAGAGATCACCGACTACAGAACAGGTTTCACCTCACTCACTATAGAACCGGTATTGCCACATAGATCACCGACTACAGAACAGGTTTCACCTCACTCACTATAGAACCAGTATTGCCACAGAGATCACCGACTACAGAACAGGTTTCACCACACTCACTATAGAACAGGTTTGACCACAGAGATCACCGACTACAGAACAGGTTTCACCTCACTCACTATAGAACCGGTATTGCCACATAGATCACCGACTACAGAACAGGTTTCACCTCACTCACTATAGAACCGGTATTGCCACATAGATCACCGACTACAGAACAGGTTTCACCTCACTCACTATAGAACCGGTATTGCCACATAGATCACCGACTACAGAACAGGTTTCACCACACAGACCACTGACTACAGAACAAGTTTCATCACACAGACCACTGACTACAGAACAGGTTTCACCACACAGACCACCGACTACAGAACAGGTTTCACCTCACAGACTACTGACCAGTAGTCAGAACAGGTTTCACCACAGAGACCACTGACTACAGAACAGGTTTCACCACACAGACCACTGACTACAGAACGGGTTTCAACACAGAGATCACCGACTACAGAACAGGTTTCACCACACAGACCACTGACTACAGAACAGGTTTCACCACAGAGATCACCGACTACAGAACAGGTTTCACCACACTCACTATAGAACAGGTTTCACCACAGAGATCACCGACTACAGAACAGGTTTCACCTCACTCACTATAGAACCAGTATTGCCACATAGATCACCGACTACAGAACAGGTTTCACCTCACTCACTATAGAACCGGTATTGCCACATAGATCACCTACTACAGAACAGGTTTCACCTCACTCACTATAGAACCTGTATTGCCACATAGATCACCGACTACAGAACAGGTTTCACCTCACTCACTATAGAACCGGTATTGCCACATAGATCACCGACTGCAGAACAGGTTTCACCTCACTCACTATAGAACCTGTATTGCCACATAGATCACCGACTACAGAACAGGTTTCACCTCACTCACTATAGAACCAGTATTGCCACAGAGATCACCGACTACAGAACAGGTTTCACCTCACTCACTATAGAACCGGTATTGCCACATAGATCACCGACTACAGAACAGGTTTCACCTCACTCACTATAGAACCGGTATTGCCACATAGACCACTGATGTGCTCAGTTAATATACGCAATATTATTACTTTGAGGCTGTCATTGTTAAGTAACAAAGAGCTACCACAAGGTGAAAGAAATACTGAAATTACTTTGTGCTGATGTGCCGAAGAATTAGACAATAAATGTTTAAGGAAGCCAAATATGATGAAATGGAAGAAAAATGAGAAAATGTCAAAATGTGAAATACCTCTCTCCTCTTCGCCCCATGTGCAGGCAGAGAGAGGTTGTAGGAGAGAGTGGTTACAGAGAGAGGTTGTAGGAGAGAGTGGTTGCAGAGAGAGGTTGTAGGAGAGTGGTTACAGAGAGGGGTTGTAGAGAGAGGGTTACAGAGAGAGAGAGAGTGGTTGCAGAGAGAGGTTGTAGGAGAGAGTGGTTAGGAGAGAGTGGTTGCAGAGAGAGGTTGTAGGAGAGAGTGGTTACAGAGAGAGGTTGTAGGAGAGAGTGGTTGCAGAGAGAGGTTGTAGGAGAGAGTGGTTACAGAGAGAGGTTGTAGGAGAGAGTGGTTACAGAGAGAGGTTGTAGGAGAGAGAGTGGTTACAGAGAGGTTGTAGGAGAGAGTTTGCAGGAGAGGTGGGTTACAGAGAGAGGTTTGTAGGAGAGAGGTTGTAGAGAGAGAGAGGTTGCAGAGAGAGGTTGTAGGAGAGAGTGGTTACAGAGAGAGGTTGTAGGAGAGAGTGGTTACAGAGAGAGGTTGTAGGAGAGAGTGGTTACAGAGAGAGGTTGTAGGAGAGAGTGGTTGCAGAGAGAGGTTGTAGGAGAGAGTGGTTGCAGAGAGAGGGTTGCAGAGAGAGAGGTTGAGAGAGAGGTTGCAGAGAGAGGTTGTAGGAGAGAGTGGTTGCAGAGAGAGGTTGTAGGAGAGAGTGGTTGCAGAGAGAGGTTGTAGGAGAGAGTGGTTGCAGAGAGTGTTTGTAAGTTTTGCTGTGTCAATGAGAAAACCATCAAGTTCTTCTTGTATAAAAATATCTTTTCATGGTAGGAGGCCATTATTATCAAGTGATGTGTAGCTCACTGTTCTAGCATCCCACTTTGAACATGGGACTTTTTGTTTGTCTCCCAACTGACGTAGGGTAAATGAGCGATC